CAAATCTCAAGAAACAAACTTTAGAAGAAAACTGGGGATAACAACGGTGGATTCCAGAACTTACGGAGATGCGTGCCTCTTATCATATTGCAGAACAGTGCAAGAAGTTTATAGGAGAAAATGCTAAGCCCAATTATGGCTGTCAAGTTACGATTCAATCTGAACAAGAAAAGCTGTTAATGAAGCAATATCGTCGGGAAGAAAAGCGAAATGCCAGAAAAGAAAAACAAACCGGAGAAGATGGAGAAGTTTCTGGAGAAGGACAAATGTGCTTTGATCCTAAAGAGCTACGGATGCAAAGGTAATAAATGCCAAAAGTTGAGAAATGTTTCTGTTGTAATTGCCACTTCAACGTGTCATAATAGTTTATTTTATTTTAGTTTGCTCTGGTGATTAGATGGTTCTGACTTCAAGTCACGTTTTATTACAAGTGTACTTTTTTTGTTAATATGAAAACCCGGTTTTCAGGGAAAGAAAGCAATGATCTGCTTAATGAGAATATTCTTGATCCGTCTATGTGGGCTGCAGATGCAGATTAGAGGGGTAGGCTATTGTTCTTCCTGTGCATTCCTATACACACACTACTTGCTTAAGATTCATGAAGTCTGTACTAAATCTAGCAGAACTATCTTTCTTTTTTTCTTCTCAAGATTAATGGGTGCTATTTTCAATGTTGTCAGATAAAGGTAGTGGGAGGAGTAGGGAAGAGAGAGGATAAGGGGCAAATGCGCTGTTTTATTTTGTATTGAGAAAAATGTAGTGGGATCAGTATCGAGCTGTGAATATACATTGCTGTATTGCTTAAAAAAGAAGGAAAACTGCATTTAGAAAAACCTTGCTCTTTTTGAATTGCATTTCTGGTTTTTATCTAAACTGTGTTTTAAGGACTTGGTTTAACTGATGCCAGACCATAACACTGTAAAATTCCTTTGTTGATTATTTATGCAATGGTTTTTTCCTTAAATTTCCACAACTCTTGGTCTGACTTTAATATACTACATTCAGTTTTTGTGATGGTTGCCTGGAATGAGCAGAATTATTGCAGTTGTTTTTCTACCTACAGAGAACTGGCACTTTTGAATGCTCGAAGTATGCCTGTCCTAGGCAGGCAGAGAGAGATAGACTTCGAAAGAATTCGTTATCCGCATGTTTATGATTCTCGAGCTGAAGCTATGAAAACGTCAGCATTCATTGGGGGTGCAAAGGTACGTGTTTGGTGTGTGACCCTTCTTGAACAGCACGTCTTTCCCAGTGAATAACATGCAGCAGGGTTCCCTTTGTTCCCTTAGAGATTCTCTGCCTTGTTGGACTCCAATGTATAAAGCAGTGCTTCTTTGCAGAGCATTTTAAGCACTTTTTTATATTCTGGTTTTATTTTGATTCTATCAGAAACAAACGTTCTCAACTAATATATCTAGTTTTATTTCTGGGGTCACTTAAATCATGAAAATACTATTTTTCTCTTTCTGTCTTTTGGAAACAATTGAACTGACTCTAACAAAATGAATTCTTTATGAAATTCTAGGCTTAATGGCTTTTGAAATTCAATAAAATGGACTTATCTTTTGCGTCTTTTTTGGGACTATTTTCTGAGTAGTAAAACTGGTTGTTTTCTGTTTGGGGGTTCAGTGCCATCTATAAAATTAATCAGTGAGAACTGCTTTTGTTTTGGATTCATTTTTTCATGGAAAGTGATAAACCATTTTTCTAAGTGGGTTATATATAATGGCACTTTCTGTTTTCATACTTTCAATTAGTTTTTGCTTAATACTGTTTTAGGTGTTCTTACCAGAGGCAGTTCAGAGAGAAAACAATAAAACGTATGAAGAGGTGAAGATCCCCCATAGTGAACCGATGCCCATTGGTATTGAAGAGAAAATTGTTTATATTAAAGACTTAGATGAGGTGAGTAAACCGCTTCAAAGATATTGAATTACTTTTTACTTTGTATTATAAAAATTTAACTGAAAATTATTACCACTTAATAATATGATGTGTAAATGCAGCCAGTTAGTTTCTTCACTACTGACTTTGAGAATATTGTCGAGGGATGGATGTAGTTCAATGATATAATCCCTTTCATGATGACTCAGACTCCATAAATTCCCGTTCTAAACTACTTTTTCATGAGTTGCAATTCTTAATTCCTTTGATATTACCTGTTCAGCTAGATAGGTTTTTCAGCTGTGATCCGAATCATAAAAACAGAATGATCATGGTGATACTTTTCTCTTTTCGGAGCCCCCGTGGAGAAGGGAGCCCAGGCTTGCGTATCTTGGTTTGCAGCATTGGTTTGCAGTCTGTCCACTAGTCTGCAGTTGTGGGAGTAGTGAGTTATGGCGTTACAGGGTGCAAAACTTTCTGGAAGAGTGCAAATGATTATTAGCAGAACTTTGGTAATAGGAAATAGAGGACAGAGAGAAAAAATGCAAGTAAAAGAAACATTAAGATTTTAACTTTTACTGATTTAACATGGTAAAAAGCTAAATTTGTTGCTAGTATGTACAGTCTAGAACTTCCAATGTTCCATCATGCGTGCCTGCTCACTCCTCATTGTGTATGTCAAATCTGTTGATGACTGGAAGATTTACTGCTGATTTGAACAGGGACATAATGTACATATGAAGAAGGGTTTATATTTCTTACTTCTTCACCAGCATACAACAAGGGAAATTGTTTCCCACTTCTTTCCTGTGGGAAAGCAGGAAAGTAGAATATAAATCTAATACAGTTGCCCAGAGCACTTTATTGGGGTTCTGAATAAAGATTATATCTTACATAAAAATTTAACTCTCTTAAAAGAGGAGACGATTTAATTGTAGAATCATAGAATGTTAGGGATTAGAAGGGACCTCTAAAGATGATCTAGTCCAACCCCCCTGCCAGAGCAGGATCCCCTAGGGCAGGTCATACAGGAACGCGTCCAGGTGAGTTTTGAAAGTCTCCAGAAAAGGAGACTCCACAACCTCTCTGGGCAGCCTGTGCCAGTGCTCTGTCACCCTCCCAGTAAAGAAGTTTCTTCTCATGTTGAGGTGGAACTTCCTATGTTCTAACTAAAGCCCGTTATTTCTTGTTCTATTGCTGGGTGCCACTGAAAAGAGATTGTCCCTTTCCTCTTGACACCCACCCCTCAGATATTTGTATACGTTAATCAGATCCCCTCTCAGCCATCTCCTTTCAAGGCTAAAAAGCCCCAGTTCTCTCTTCATAGGAGAGATGTTCAAGTCTCTTAATCATTCTCATAGCTCTCTGTTGGACTGTCTCCACTAGGCCCCTGTCTCTCTTGAATTGAGGAGCCCAAAACTGGACACAGTATTCCAGGTGTGGTCTCACCAGGGCAGAGTAGAGGGGCAGGAGAACCTCCCTAGACCTGCTGGACACACTTTCCTTAATGTACCCCAGGATCCTATTGGCCCTCTTGGCCACAAGGGCACATTGCTGTCCCGTGGACAACTGACTGTCCACTAGGACTCCAAGGTCTTTCTCCACAGGGCTGCTTTCCAGCAGGACGTGCTGAGGGTGCACTCTATCCCCTCATCCAGGTCATTGATGAAAATACTGAACAAAACTGAACCCAGTACTGATCCCTGGGGAACAACACTGGCCACAGGCCTCCAACCTGACTCTGTGCCACTGATCACAACCCTCTGAACTCTGTTGCTGAGCCAGTTCGCAGTCCACCTCACAGTCCAATCATCTCTCCCACATTTCTTGAGTTTTCCTATGAGGATGTTATGGCGGACAGTATCAAAAGCTGAAGTTGGCGTATATGACATCCACTGCTCTCCCTTCATCAACGCATTTGGTCACATCCTCGTAGAAGGGTATCTTCTGCTTGGGTGACAGTACGTAATGCTGTGTTTATGAAATGACTGACAGATTGACCAGATAGAAAAGCTGAGCCACAGCAGCTATAAAACGTGGCATTTTATATGACAATTTTCAGCATGACAGCTTTTTGCCATGAAATATCTTTCTCCTAAGCTAAATACTGTTTACTAATCTGTAAACTTTTTTTGAGAAGTACCAATATTTCAGTAGACAATAACTTGATTCAGAAAAGGTGTAGTTCAGACAGAAGAATATATGATTTGCAGATTTTTACACAGGTAATGTTTAAAATAAATGTTACAAAATGCACCAGTTTTTAAAACTTCACACATAATGAATCTCCTTTTTAGGTTGTGTACTGTTAAGAGGTATACTCTTCAGTTTTACAGTGAAATTCTGAAGTAGAATCAATCTACTTCAGAACTTCACTCTTCTATGTTTCCTGTTATAGGAGATCAAATAGGAGTGTCGACAGCGAATATGATTTTGAATGTTTGAATATGTGTGAATATGTGTGTGTTTAATTCCTGACTCCAAGTTTGATACTGGTAAATTTGTACAATTGGAAAACTTCTTAGGCCTTCTCCTGGCCTCTTTTCAGTTGGTAACTACCTTGCCCAAGTGTGAAGGGGGTTGGTAGTAAGGAAAAGCAATTTCTAACTGACATTCTAATTTCTTATGTTGTGGAGAGAAGTGTGTTCTACTTAGATTTGATTTATGGCAAGTTTTTTAATGACTAGCATAGATTTCTTTATAAGGGAAAGAAATTACTATTTTACATTCAGAAAAATGTTTCATTTTCAATTGAATATTAATGTGAGATTTTTTTGGAAGAAACTCGTAGGGGCCTCTTTTTCTTTTTAGACTATATGTTTTCATTTGCAAAAAAGTAATTTTAAAGAATTTCTCATGAGTTATGATTTTGATCACGTAAGCAGTTTTATTTGACTGTTTTACATGGGTGTTGCAGACTATGCTATTAAATTTAATCTTCAAAGCTGTTGAAACGTGAGTTCATTTATATTTTGAACTACTGCCAGAAATTAAACCTCTCGATCATGTAATCTAAAGTGATCTTTTATTTTAAATGTTTGCAAGTGCTAGTTCAGATTACTTACATTTTTCTCATTTCCTTAAGTTGATGTAAACTTTGAGAAGAGATGAGAGAAATATATTCCTCTAAATATTAATTCTAACAAAGTACTTTGTAATCACATCTTAAACATCTATGGACTCTTTTTTTTTATTTCTTTTATACAAATACAACACAAAATGACAAAACTTCTGTGCACCAACACCGACGGGGAAGCAATGCCTTAAATTAACGCAGATCATCAGGAGATTCTTACTGATAGAATTGGCAGTGTAGTGAGGATACACCTTCCACTGCACTCCAGAATGAAGAAATAACATGTTTTCATAGAATCATAGAATTGTCGGGGTTGGAAGGGACCTTAAAGATCATCTAGTTCCAACACCCCTGCCATGGGCAGGGGTATCCCCCACTAGATCAGGCTGCCCAGAGCCCCATCCAGCCTGGCCTTAAAAACTTCCAGGGATGGGGCTTCCACCACCTCTCTGGGAAACCTGTGCCAGTGTCTCACCAACCTCATGGGGAAGAACTTCTTCCTAATGTCCAGTCTGAACCGATCCATCTCTAGCTTCAATCCATTCCCCCTAGTCCTATCACTACCGGACATCCTAAAAAGCCCCTCAACAGCTTTCTTGTAGGCCCCCTTGAGATACTGGAAGGCCACAATAAGGTCTCCTTGGAGCCTTCTTTTCTGCAGACTGAACAGCTCCAACTCTCTCAGTCTGTCTTCATAGGAGAGGTGCTCCAGCCCTCTGATCATCCTCGTGGCCCTTCTCTGGACACGCTCCAGCACATCCATATTTTTCTTGTGCTGTGAGCTCCAGAACTGGACACAGTACTCCAGGTGAGCTTTGGCACTATATTACTTGAAATCTTATGACTAGTATTTTCACACTAAGTATTTATTTTAGTTAGAGCCTCTTTGCAAAATATCGGAGCTTTTCTAAAGAGTTTACATTTAAGATTAGTTAAATTAATCCACAGGCAGATTTTCCTAAAGTATCATGGACTCAGTGCCTGGAAAAATACAGTTGCTAAGATGAAACTCACGATACAAACTGATAGAGATCTAAATTTCTGTAGCTTCCATTCCTATCTACTCCCGTTATGCACTGCAAATACAACAGTGGCCAAGCTTTTTTTTAATTGTATTTTTATTTGTCAGCCATAAAAGCGTACCATAACATTTGTCATAAACTGCTGGTGTTAGTACTCCTACTATGCTGCTTGTGTTTTGTCACCCCTGCCTTTCTACCCTGTGATCTGATCTGCTTCACCTCCTGTGACAGCCCAGCTCCACCTGTGTGGGCTCCAGTTCTTTAGCTCCTCCCTGTGTTGAGTTGGGAGCAGGAGCTACTGGTTTGCCTGGAGGGTGCCGTGCTGCCGCTCGGGAACATCTCTGGGCTGTGTTCTACAGAAGGAGGTGCAAAGGAGGAGGGTTCTCACAAATCCCACCTCCAACTCAATTTGTAGATCGTTCTTTTTCTTGGCATTTATTATCATTTGGAGAGCTGAGTTTTCACCGTAGTACAAGCACAAGTGGCTTATTAAGTAGCTGATCAGTCACACCAGTGTAGTCTGAAGTATTATGGTACTACTACTTGGAAAAAAGTGGCATTCTAGCTAGGTTGGTTCAATAATGAGAATTTTAAAAATGGAGTAAGTGCAAGTGTAGATTTATTAGCTTTGACTGTGTGACATGGAGCTTGACCGTTACTGAAATACATCTTTTTGTACTTACGTTAAAGCTATTTTTGTGCCAGCCTTTTTGCCAAATAAATGTCCCTTTAAAGTCATAAGCTCAGGTCAGGGAAAGTTCTTCAAGACTGTGAAAATAGGTTTTATCTAGCAAATTGCTCTTGGTGAAAAATTACTTCAGCTTTTTACCTGAAGTAGGTGTTCAGGGTAGAATTTATTTCTTGGTTTCATGTTATTTCTATTTCTTTTTACAAGCACTGCTTAATGGTCTAAATAACAAATA